GTGAGCTGGAAAGCTCAGATATGGATTCCTCATAGCGAGGATGCTCCGAAAAGGTGAAAAATGAAAAACGAAATCCTGCCGGACTGCCTTTGAAAGGAAAACTGCAGACAAACTCACTTAGAGCCCGCATCATCCTCATCGCTATCGTCTGAATCAACTATGCGCTTCTTCTTCCGAACCACATTCTCATCATCATCTGTAGAAAAGCTTGATTTAAGAACTAGAAAAAACACGAAAATTTACCATCTTCAGCATCCGAACCAGCAGGTGATTTTCTTTTTTCAGAACGATCATCATCCGCATCATCATTGTTTTCAGAGCCACTCTTAGCCACTACATTGCTAAACATACAAAGTACTATACATACACAAAATTTTGAAAATGAGAAACAAGAAACCTCTTTTCGTCATCGTCATTTTCCCGATATCGTGGAGATGAGGTGTCGGGATCCTGAACCTGTGGAGGAGATCTCGACGAAGAAGGAGCGTCGTGCGGCGGTGAAACGGGATTATACGGTTGATCCATGGATGTGTCGGCCCCGGGAGAAAGAGGGATGTTGGGACTATCAGCGCGGTATTCGTCATCAGAGCTGAAATATGAGCTGACATAAGCTGACATCAAAAAATAAATATGAAACAATCAATATCAAGAAGTCCCAAAAGCTAACACTTACATCCTTAGCATATGGCTTTGCATGTCAGGGGAGAAACAAAATGAAAAATTAATCTATGATAAAAATTTGGGAAGTTGCGCACATGTCAGTTTCCAAAAAAAGATAAAGGACACTGTTGAGAAAAACTAACGATTTGACTACGAACTATAGTACAAAATTAGTCGGAAAATGGTAAGAAAACTTGAGGCAAAAAATGAAGGTAAAAGGGATGTTTGTGAATGATAGAAAGAAGATAGCGAATCTGCACCAACAAACAATGAACCGAACTGAGACATTGCACAGCGAAAATTTACATTGCTTTAAGTTTACAAACGTGTAAAAACGCCCCTAAAACATCATTTCCACCAGAAGAAAGGAAGAACCATTCAAAATTAACTCACTCTGCATGAGCCGACAATGGCGAAGACGGGGC